ATCATTACTATTATTATGATTACCACTATCATAATTATAATTACTATTAACAGTAGTAGTAGTGGTAGTAGTAGTAGCAGCAGCAGTAGTAGCAGTAGTAATAGTAGTAGTAGTAGTAGTGTGTACTGTAAATCTGCATCTTTTGAGATTAAGATACCCAGCGATGTCCCTGCTAAGAGAAAGTTAAATGTATAAAGGAAGATAGATTGGCAGACAGATAGATATACAGACAGACAGATAAACAGATAGATAGATAAATGCATGTCCATCAGTGAATCGCGCAGAAACCGATGTTTACCTCTTTTTTTATTGACTCGAGTTTTCTTGAAAAAAGTCGAAACAAAACTGGATCGAAAAGTATCAATAATTTGGATTATCTGCAACCTCTAATTGTTGTGTCACAGATACATAAATGCTTTGCAAAACATGTAAACATGTAAACTTATATCTTGATTATACTTAAAATGTTTGTAAGAAAATCCTTATTCTGAATCACTATGTTTGTAATCATTATCATTGATGATACTGTAGTATCAAATGTTCGCGATTTATTTGTGCTAACATATCCAGCGTTCCACAGGACACAGAGAGTCAGTACTGACATTCCTACCGATGATTAATGTTTTCCATTTTCTTATGTTTAGTGACATTTTATAACATCCTCGTACAAAGACGACTTGTGATCACCTCAAAAACGAAGTCACTGCCTACAGCATCGGTTCGATCAACACCTCAGGCTCCCACAACTAATAGCCTAGAATAAACCAGAAGAAACTCTGCCGAGATTATATTCACTCATCAATCGTAACCATTACGCAAGTGGCTTGCTACATGGGATATCGCACACATATCACAAATCTGAAGAAAACTCGCTAGCTACTTCAAGGTGCGAGTTGCATATTGCCTCATGAAGTCAGGTAGTCCTCTTCTCTACATTGCTCAAGATACTCCATGATTCTCATACTTTGGGACATCATGGTATTTTCAAAACTTCACAGTTTCAAAATTTTGCTCTCACTATTATATCCCAACCACTTGCCTGACATACCAGAACGACCCTTTGTCAGTGTGAATATGGAAGTTCTTTCCGTTTCACTCCCACAGAAAACCAAAACCGCTTCCTGCTCGCTTCCTGCTCGCCTCTATCCTTGACAAGAGCGCAGAGACTGTCACTCGTGAGTTCCTCTTTCACATCATCTGTCACCATGGCAGTCGGAGACGACTAAGCTAGGAGCGTGATTGCCCGGAAACAAGAGGCCCATGAGCACCTGCAGGTGGAAGGGGACCGCATCATTGCTCAGCAACACAAGCTCGCCCGACGGAAGGAGATCCTCGTCTTCCATCCTGCATCTGATAAGTCCTCCCCTACGGCTAAACGTGCTACTAATTTCGAAGGACCAGATATTTCTCCTGATTCCACGCCTGATACTTCGATGCCACTGTTTACCCCTGAGTGCGACTCCTTTGATCTTCTGCAGACACCTTCAGTCCAGAGATGACCAAAACGTCCATCCCAAAACCCGCTCAGTCATGGGTCACGCCACACCCGCTCCACATATTGCCAGCCTGCATCTTACCTTCCACCTGCGCACCACGCTGGGACCGAGTCTCTCTACAACACCTTCGTCGAGAATTCGTCTTCAGCACTGCAGCCAGATTGAGGACGATCCTGGTTAGGTGGTTGAGCGGTTTAATAACCTTACCCCTCTACTCACCCTCGACTTCCTACAGTACACAGCACTCTACTGGTTATCACCTATGCCAACTTTGACCTGCACCCAGAACGTAACGACTAAGTACCCTGAGGGCAAGCAAGTTACTTCGGATTCTAGTCCTACAAATACTTACATATATACATATACTAAAAAAGGCAGAATATAGATAGACACACAGACAGATAGAAAGAGATAGATATAATTGAGAGAGAAAGAGAGATTTGATCTAATTTGTTTGATAACATTTTTCTGCAGAATCCTGCCCTGTAAAAAGACAGGATAAAATGACAAAATATAAAAACACAACCACAACTACAGTAACATATACAAAGATGAAAAGGAAAACACAATAAGAAATTAAACTAAACTATGACGTTTCCAACTCGTTATGAGTTCCTCATCAGAGGATAAATAACCGAAATGGAATTTTGGTTTCCTATCCGTCATTTCTTACTGTGACTGTTTTCCTTTTCATGCCAAAGTATTTATATAGAGGGCTATCAGTCAAGTATCATTTTTACATGCCTGAAGGGCTGTGTCATTATGCTTGCATTATTTACATATCTTGTTGGTAAAAAATATACATATATACATATATATTTAACACTAATGATATCAAAGAAAAGAACAGTAAGTAATGAATATGATTATGCGCCTTGCCTCTATAATTGCATACTAATATCTTATGCCTAGAGTACAGGTCGCGACCTAGTACTGGGTCGCAAGCTCATGTTCAGTGGATCGCCACATAATAATAATAATAATACATACATACATACATGTATACATGCAAACACACACACACATGCGTATATATGTATCATCATCCTCATCAGGCTGTATCAATACACTGCAGGACGTAGGCCTCTCCCAATCTTTTCCAGTTCTTCCACTCCTGCATTTTTTGTTTCCAGTCTTGGTACCAAAATGTCGTTATTTCGTCATGCCATTTTGTCACTGGCCTCCTTATGATAGCTATATCCCAGTCTGTTACTTTCCTCGTCCATTTGTCGTCCTGTCTCCGACATCTATAACTTGACCATTGCCATTTCTTCTTTTTAATGCTCGTAATATATCTTCCACTTTTGTCTGTTCCCTTACCCATATCACCGTTATTAGATCTCTTAGGCTAATTACCAGCATCAACCTTTCCTTCCTCTCTGGGCACTTATTAGTTTTTCTCCAGCCATTTGGGTCTTAGTGCATGTTTCTGCACGAAAAGTCATAGCTAAAGACTTTTCGTCATAAACATAATGGCAAGAATCCTCTTAGTACAGTATGCTACTATGTTTGCCGAAGTCACTGTAGCTTAGGCTGATGCATCGCTTTATTTCCTCTTCACTGGATGTGTTTGTCTGTATGAGTTAACCTACATATATACTTGTCCACTACCTCTAGCACTTCGTCTTGTATGTACATGCACCTGCTCGAACTGAACTCTACTGTTGAACATGACCTTAACCTTTTTCCTGTTCATCTTAAGTCAAACTTTCAGTCTTTCTCTATTCAGATCATTTATCAATTGCTGCAGTTCATTTGCTGACTCAATGAAGAGAATATTAGCGTCTGCAAACCTTGTATTGTTTAGGTATCCATCTCCTATTTTGATACCCTTTCCATTCCATTCTAGCTTCTTGAACATTTCCTCAAGCTGTAAACAGTTTTGGTGAGATAGTGTCGCACTAACACCTTTTTTGGTTGTTATGGAGCTTGATGGTTGCTGTCCATCTTCGTATATATCTTCCAATATTTTACAGTAAACTTCCTCTACTCCTTGTCTTCGAATAGCTTCTAATACTGCTGGGTTTGTACAGAATCAAATGCTTTTTCGTAATCGATGAATGCCATACACAGGGGTTTCCTATATTCATTTATCTTCTCTCATATTTGGGTTAGTGTGGGAATGTGGTCTGTTCAGAATCCACTGCGAAAGATTCCAGACTGTCAGTGATGTGAGCTGTGATGGTTTTTGTGAACAGTTTGTAAGTAACTGAAAGGAGGCTTATGAGATTTTTAGATCCTTTCTATCCCCTTTTTTTTTGGCATGAAATAATTGTTTTATTTTCCCAGGTTTTTGGAGTTTTGCCGTTGATAAGGCATTTGTCATAGAGAGTGGCTCGTTTCACTGTTGCAATTTCTCCTGCATCTATTACTAATTCTGTCTTCACCTGGTGTTTTACCATTTTTCATGCCCTTAAGACCTCTTTTAATTTCTGTTGTGATGTTAAATACATACACACATTGTAAAAGGCTATGGATGCCTAAATATAGTGGTTGGGCAATGGTAGTGGTTAAATGGATTGACTCTTTATTTCCATAAAAGAGTACAACACAATAGCGGGAACACACGAGACGTTAATTTAGGGTAAGCGCTTAGTGCGGTGTCATGTGTTCAACCAGCCAGCTCTGGGGAGCCGGTGACTGGTGGTGACCTGGTCAGAGTGAGTGCTGGGTCCGAATTGAAGGGTCAGATGAGGTCATATATAATCGTCATTTAGGCCCTCATTGGTTTAATGGTTCAAACTTGACTTAGAACCATGTATTAAGCAGCCACTTAGTCTATTGGTCTA